AACAGCGAATTTACGTAAGACGCTTTCACGAAATAAATTGGCGTAATCGACGCGTAAATCTGTACGATGCGGTGTACGGATTCCCTTCGTAGTGGAAAGGTAAAAGGGAAAGAACGGTTCGAGGTTGGCTGGCCGTGAATAAAACTAAAAACTTGATCCACTTGACGTCCAATCAATCAAACGTACCATTTTTTTTGTCGGATAACACTTCAAGAGTATTAATTAAAGAGATGTAGAAAAAGTCCGAACGAATTCTTCCAGCTGTTATATAACATTCAGCCAATACAATTTTCATTATATGTAGTTCGCGACTCACACACTCTATAATCTTTCTCTATTCTCTCGTTTATTCACACGAACACGATCAGACTGTGCAAACAGTCCTGCTGCAAGGATGTATCTACAAAAGACAGTGGAGGATAACGAAAGTTCGAAAACTACATGGGTGGAAGAGCACGGAGGATTCAAGGTTGGTAGATCGTGGCGGTGGTTCGCCGGCTGTTTAGTACGCGTCCTCACGTACCGGTCGTTCGATCTTTTCCGCGAAACCAAAGACACGCTGCCTGACATAGAGAAAGGAGACAGCGTTCTATTCGGCGTACGTAAGTACTTACCAGTACGTGCAGTTACCGAGCCATACGATCAACGTGTACGCGTCTGCAGCCCGAGCGACAGCCACCGTCAGATAGAGCCTCGTCGAGCTCCCCTACGTGCCCGTTCTGGCTTCCGTCGATCCTTTTTCGCCTGGCGAACCTCCACAGTTTGCTCCACGAACGCAAATTGCAGTTACCACCCACGAAATATTCGATTCGCTGGCTACTTGCTTATGTACACGAGAAGAACAATAAAATATGTTCAGGTTAAACGAAAACGAAATAAGAAGAATATAGGCGCATTCGATAAGACGATCAATCGTCGACGAGATGCCTGGGATTAATTCGGAAAAGCCGCGTGCGTCTCGCGATTAATACGACAGAGCGGGAGGAGGAAATTAATTAATTGGTATTCGCGGGGAACGCATCTTGCGGAATAATATCCGACTTAATGAATTTCCTACGCCCACGGATCGGACGACCCACACGTCGAACAGGCGGGATCGATCGACGATGATGATCGGAAAGAGCTTAGCCAGTGCGCTGGTCGGACTTTTACCCGCGGTTCGACCAATAATTTATTACACGCCCGTGTGTGCACGGCGTACGCTGCCGGGCTCTTTAAACGCGTCCAAACGTGAACGCTTGCATCTCCTCTGGTCGCTTTGTACGGTGAAAGGAGAAATTTCGCTCGTAAAACGATTTTCTGCGGGACACCCACACGCATTCCTAGATCCATCGCTCTGCGCGCTTCTTCTCATTCTTTGATTGTTCACGCTGCGGTATCGCATCCAGGACGATGATGGAACGAGAAAATGAGAATTTCTGACGTTTACACCGTTTGCTTGCTTAAAATTGTTTGCCAGTTTTCATTAGCTCCGCTGAACTTATGCATAATATTATCCACTTTGCTTAAAAAATTGTATTTGAAAAGAATATCGTGAATAAAGAATCGTACTCCTCAATTATTCTGACACTTGACTGTTAATTATTGATTCGAAATGAAATAATTACCCGCATCGATTACTATAGGAAACACCCGTGTCAAGAGTTGACTTACTGACTGCACGCGATATCAAAGGAAGCAACGAGACCAAAAGAGACTAAGGGTCTGAATGATGGAGTAGGCAAACGATACAGCAAGGTTTAATCCCGACCTTGAGCAGCCAGTCCATTTCAGCCGAAGAATACCTCGAATCTGTCCGGCTGTCATTTTCTATTTACCAAAGCATCGATCGGATCCGTTCCCGTTGTAACGTTTCGAAATTCATCATTCCGTTCCCCACCTATCCGGTTTTTCTAAACGGTCGATCGGACGGCATAGAAAAAATGTCGGAATAATAGAAATTTTATCTGATCGTGATCCACGCGCTGACTCATATCGATTAAAAGACGACCGGACAATGGGTCCGACGGTTTGCGAGGCACACAAAGGAACGATGGACGCGGCTGACGAACGAATTAGAATACGTGTACGTACGCGTGCACGTACACGGATGCGTGGATGCGTGCGTGCCCGCGAGGTGTGAGGGGAAAAAAGGCGAGCATGAAAGTCGCGGGCGTGGGAACGACAGGCCCCAAGCGAGCCACCAATTAACACCAATTAGCGCTCATCTGCTCTAGGTAGCGCGGCAGCGACCAGCGAACCGACTTCGCATTTAGCACGAGACGAACGGGTTAACGCGGATCGGCCACAACGGTCCTCTTTGTGCCATCCAGGTCGGTCACCAGAAATTTTTACACTTCCGCGAAACACCAGGAACTAGAAAAATCAAAAAGAAAACTGGATTAGGCGATCTGTTGCTTCCGTTTTTTTTAAAGTGAACGACTATCCTTTTTAATCCCTTGGCATTGTAAGTGGACAGTCTTCTATTTAATTAAACTTTGAGAAAGATACACTGTTTCTGAAGAATTGCAATAAAAAATTACTTATTAATTACATACGAAAATACAAATCAATTACAAATACAAATTAATCGACATGCAGTCGCAAAAAATTGCCTTCTTTACAAGAGGGAATGAAATCAATTTGAAAGCACCCTTTCACCTAATCATAACTGTATCGAGTCACATTAGGAGGCGGAATTTCACTTCAAAGGCCTGCTACGTGGGTGCTTGAAAATCAACGGGAATTACTGAGCAGGTTCCAGGATCGGTCCGTTCCAAAACGGTCGCCGCGCGGCAAAAACACGAATCGCCAATGGTAGAAGTGTCGCGCCGCTTTAGGAAACGATTTGTCCGCAAGAATAGTCGCGTTACCTAAGCATTTTGGCTGCCGGCGGGGGAGAATGTTTTCGCTAATTCGACGATCGGCAGTCCAGTCACGACCGGGCAGTTAGCCGAGCGTGTTGAACGGGTTCCGGGCAGAAAAGGAATCGATCAAAGGGGAAACAACGTGGTTCCCACGTGTACCGTAACGCGTACACGCTTCTTTACGGCTCGGAACCCCGCGACGCTCTCGGCCCGTTCGATAATCGACAGAACGAGGAAAAAATAAAGGACACGCGCATGATTGAAAAGCGTACAAGGGTGGAGAAAGTCTAACGATGAATACAAAGAGCTTATTAAGTTCCTGAAATTTACTTCATATTGATATTCATAAAATGTATCAAGATAAACGATCTCCGTGCAGGGCATTATCCACTTTTCTAATTATCTAAAAGATTCGATTAACCGGCGCGCGTAATGATTATCTCAGGTAAACGAGGTTCCCCGTGTCTATTATTCGGCATCATTTATTATTCGTCACGGACAGCGCATTTTTCACTTTCCATCGCGCTGACTTTAACGCGGTAAGCGGAGCCACCCCCGTGGCCTGACTGATCACGCGAAACACCTGCGGTTCTAATTAAAAAAACCCGGGTAAACCTTCTCCTTGACTCATTCCTTTCTCTCGTGGTTTACACCGGCGAGAGGATTCACCGGGTTCATTAAACCGGCGCGCAACGCAGGACCCCGAGCACACGCGAGATCGCTGATGCCGATGATCGTTTCTTTCTCCGCCGGGACCGGTTCCATCGGGAACAGAGTTCCAGCTTTCTATCGTACTCGCCCGGACTCCCGGACACCCCTTTGGGACCGTTTCTGTTTCTACCGTTCGCCTCCGGACGAACAGATAGCCGCTGTCTTCCGCGACAGCGCGATTGGAATTTATTTATTGCATTAGCCAACCGTCACTCACCGGGGCTTGATTGGTGGTACCAATCAGGTTCGTTCGTCGTGCCGGAGAAGCCGTGGCGAACGTAAACACGCGAACCTCCGGCTACCTCCGGTGTAATTATTCTGATTTGTGGCGGGACGCTGCTGCCGGTGAAAAATGCGGGCAGCGGCCCTGATTACACGCGGATCGGTAATTATCGAAGACGGTGGCCACCTTTTGATGGGACATTTGTTTTACTTCCTCCTGGTTCTGTTGGCTACCCGGTGGTCGACTGGTCGTCGCTATGCCGTGCTGACTATCTCCTCTTCTTTTTACCTCGGATTATCGATGAGCCTAGAGGAGGTATTTCGGTGGAAAGATGATTGAACGACGCGTTTAATCTCACTCTGATGCTGGCCATTGATTACGGTTTGACGCCAATCAAAAAATATTGATAGAATCTGCGCGTAGTGATTCGACGAATCAAACAGCTAATAATAGAAAACTTTTATGGACGAGAGATGGGATTCGCGTATGCAAATTTTTCATATTCCATTGACAGTCTAATGAGACGCGACACTGGCTGATTATATTGCTATATCTCATCTTGATTGATTCGATTTTATCTCAGCTGTTGGGAATAAAAAATATCTACACATATGCAAAAGAAGGTGGATACTTTCATTAATGTAATCATGTTTGATCTTCTACTCTTTATATTTTATTTAATTCCCCTAGGTTCACCTCATTAGCTTTTCGACTTTCTTGCTGGTATCATAACTAGCATAATTAGAATCGTTGTGAATCAAATACGGAAAGATGACGTCACGCGTGTCTAGGGCTGTTTCCAAAGAGGAAGAAGTGGTAGTTGGATGAAGCCAGCAATTAACCCTTGGCCGGCTTGAATAATTCTTCGAGCTGGCGGGGCCCTAAGTGGGACCTTCCGAGATGAACTTTTGCAAATTTATACATGACTTCCTGATATACTACGTCACAATATGTCCGTTTATCACATCTTCGTGTGAAAATCCAATATATTGTAACCAACCAAACGTTAACACTTCCATATTTGTACAATTTATCTATAGAAATATTTATTATTATTATATTTTTATAAATAATTATTCGCTTCGTTTTCTTACTTAAACGATACACTGTCTTCCTGAACCAGTAGATCGCAATAAGAGCGTACAGGATAAGAAATAAAAAATGATTGCAGGAAGTAGAAGATTCCCAGCTTCATTAACGAATTTTTCTCGGGTTCGCAGAGGCAATTCACGCTGATCCTGCAAGCGAGAGACGAGGCGAGCGCGGGCGTGATCGAGGAAGCGAGTTACAGCGGTATTGTCCTGCCAGGACCTACGTGGCACACTCTCAATCATCAAGGAAAGAACGCTCATCTAGCTTACCGCGTTCGGGTCCAGTGCGCGGACCATTATTACAACGCGACCTGCACGAAGTTTTGCCGGCCGAGGAACGACATATTCGGCCATTACACCTGCGACGAGAACGGCGACAAGGTGTGCATACAGGGTTGGAAAGGGTCCGACTGCGAGACAGGTGAGTCAATTTTTACACAAATAAATCATTCGCAATTCTCCTCTGTTTGTATATCCATATAAATTATATTAACAAATAACTTAGCAATTTTATTGTCGTAAAAAATTAAATTTTACGACATAATATACGTGTATAAATTTTGCTGTCCGATATAATACGGAATTATAGGATAATTTTTGTATCCTTTCTGATATAATTCCTCGTAACTCCTGTTTATTGAATTATCACCAAAGCGGCATTGATTTTACTACCGGAAGCGTTAAAACCAGACCGGGTTTTAATCGTGCGGAACGACGTGGAATCAGTGCAAAACTAAAACGTATAACCTGTGCATGCACGAGTAAAAATGAGATCCGTGGTAAAAAGCTGTGACGTGAGCCGGAGCAACACGCTTTTGTCGCCGCTGAGATCTCTCGTTACTTATGCAACGGAGCGTCGCGCAAGGCCTTCGCCGTGGATATTGGCGGCTGAACGATTCCACAGGCACACAGTTTTTTGCCCGGCCGACCGCGGCACACCAGCCGATGGAATAATTAATCGATCCCCGAAGCGTGAAATCTCGCGTCGCGTACAGTCGCGCGACTCTCGCGATCAGCTCCGTTCGCTTTTCTCACGGACCGCTGCCTCCGAGGCTAACGAGCCAAGCCGTGAACCGATCAATTCGAATTTTCAACGCCGATACCCTTCTTCCTCCGATTCTTTTCCGACCGGCAAAAACCATATTCAATTAGCGAAGAAGCCGGGAAAAGGAAGAAAGATTGTCGACCTTAGATCTTAATTCGCGATACCTTTTCTTCGTCACCGTAGGATTCACCGATGCCTGCAAAACCACTGCTGAAGAGAACTTTACGCTAAATGGATGCTAAAATTGCTAAGGATATGTTTCCGTCTCCTTTTCCCTGGTGTCAAGGGGTTAAGAGCAAAAGCGGCGACGCGAATCGCGATACACTGACGCGACTTCGAACGTTGGCAACTTTTCCCAGCTACCACGAGTACCCGCTACTACGTTTGATTAATTAGACACGTAGCCTCCGCCACTTTGCAATAAATACACTCTACCGGAGAAACTGACCACTGCGTCGTACAGTAATATACGAAGTCCAAAAACAATTACGCCTCTCTCTCTCCGGTTATAAATGCCAGGGGAATATTTTAAAACGCGAGAGACCGATCATACCTTTCCCCTACACGCTTGTCAAACACCGAAGGGAAAGCGGAAATCTGCCGGATATCACTTCTATGCATATTAAGGATGTATAGGCTATACGCTTAAACAATGCTAGCATGTTGAATTTGTTA